GATAACACCAAATCATTGAAATTTCCAACATCATTAAATTCCATCATCTGTTCCTTATTTATTCGCTATATTTTTAAATTAGACTTTCTGCCAACGACTATTTCGGAGTTCGCCCTTGAATTGCGGTATGCGCGCATCAATTTTAGTGCACAGGAAAATTAGTCCGGATTTTGCGGGCACTCGCTCATTATCTCTGTGAACTGCCGTGGGCGCCGCGATATCGCGTGCTTTAAAATTCTTTTATTTGAGTCATCCATCTTCATGAAATATGCATTTCTCCCAAATTATGTGCACGTGTATTGCATTAAAAATCCCTTGAATTTTTGCTCAAATATTTGCCATTAATTTAGCAGAATGGAAAGAATCGTGAAAATGTACATTTAGCATAACAATATCTTGTAGAATTGGTTTTTATGTTTCCAGCATACCTGACGATTAAAACCAAAATTCAAGCAGTCATAATTTGCCACAATTAAGCGGTTAAAAGTCTTAAAACTAGTTTTACAAGTTTATAAAACTTTTATGCACTGAATCTGCAAAATTAACCTCTTGAGATGGATCGTCAATTGTGCATCGATGCAACTTGAAAGGAAGATATTCCACTCAAGTTACCACTCAATAAACAAATAATACTTACTTGATAAAATATTGGGATATTTCTCACTTCGAAACTGCATCCTTAAAATAAAAACACAGTAATTACACAATTTTGTTTTTATAGTTAAAATATAGGCGTTGCACATAGATTCTCAATACCCATATTTCCTCCGATGAATTTCCTCTGGATAAATTACGTACAATTCATCGTGTCAAAATTTGGTGGGAAAATGACGTCCAGCGAAGGACCGCCGTTAGCTCTGGCACTTGGTCTACCGGTTCGCGGGCGCGCGCTAAATTGAGGAACCGTGTGCACAATTTGTTTTAGACGGGCGATCTGAAATCGCATTCACTTTACTTTATTGCTAAGCCCGCTTCATGGTAAATTCTTTCTGATGTTTTGAAACAATGGAAGCGTATCTGACAGTGATTAATTTATTCCTCCAGAATCACTAGATAAATAGAGCGTTCACAGGTAAGTGATGCATCAATTATTGGAGCATCACCTAATTTTATTAGATTATTCTTCGTTTAAATGCAAGAAAACAATTTGTTAACGATCGTATCTCATGCTGCTTCGTTGTCATTCCGTGAGACCAAGAAATTCTAAATTAAATTATTTTTTTCTCTAGCTGAATGCAAACTTTTTATTCGAAATAGCAGAATACTTCAGAAAACTTCACATAATCTATTTCATTCTATAAATACTTCAGAAAACTTCACATAATCTATTTCATTCGAAAGCTCCTACTCCTAACGTGAACATCACTTACAAGTTTATCAAGGCTTCCACTTGAAGGATGAGGTTATCCTAAAGGGACGCCTATTCCCCGCAGCTTATCCCACTTGGCGGGCGGCTTGTCAGCATATTTCAGCTCACCACTTCCTGGCAGATCTTCCCTGAGGCGCCTGGCGAGGCGCAGGAGAGCCTGGCGAGGTGCAGGAGAGCCTGGCGAGGCGCAGGAGAGCCTGGCGAGGCGCAGGAGAGCCTGGCGAGGCGCAGGAGAGCCTGGCGAGGCGCAGAAGAGCCTGGCGAGGCGCAGGAGAGCCTGGCGAGGCGCCATGACAATTGTGATGGCGTAAGACGATGTGTGGAAAATAGTGAGATGAAATTAAGAACTTGTTCTGGCTTATGAACTAGGGAGGTTGTAGCGTTATATTATAATGAAATTCCATAAGAGCATCAAGCGAAAAACTTTAAATAGCTTACGAAAGTGACTCTTTAATCCTACATATATTTATTTGTAATCATTTGTGGTATATAACGCACTTTGTAAATCGTAAAACTCCATTCATGGATACTATCTCTTACTTTTTATTTTAGCGTTTGAATTCAAATTTCCATAAATTCGTAATTCTATACGTACAATTCGTAATTCCCAACGCCGCATTCATATGACGTGCAATTGGGGGAGTGAGGCAGCTGCCGTCGACATGAATTATTCAAATTTTGACTCATGCCACCCGACGCCAGAACCGAAACCTGGAGTAAAGATTCAATGGCCGATATATTTACGAGACATCATTGGGGGTTTTGACAGCCACGCTTCGATTCGTTACAAAATCCACCCGTCAGGATATCGATAAATCTTAAAGCCGTCTATTTTTCCACCCAGAAATACGGACGACAGATCATACGCGGCACGAAATTTTATGTTTGGCTAAGCCGATTTGCATCAGCTGTGAAATCTTTGAAAATGCTTCCGGGAAATTTCAAAGGTTCGTGATTCAAAGTTCTGTCTATTGATTTCACCATTAGAGTCACGAATCGGTTTCAATTGTGATATTAAATATTTAAAGAGTCTATTAGCAGGTAGTGAAGAAATATGGACTGTAATCTGAAATTTTTGTATCAAAGATATTTGCAGAAACCTTTTGTGTACCCCGATTTTGTCCATAAATCAGTTTTGAAAATGTCCGCCTTACTAAAATATAGCTTTTGTAATTCAGCCGAAAAGATTCTATAGTTATTTTTCCAAGAGCAATTTCTACATTGTATTTCTTTTCAGCGCAAAAATTCAATTTGATTTGAAATTGTTTTTAAGTGGAATTTGTTGTTTTACACCCATGGTTTAATCTTCTGGAATTGTAGAACAATTTGTTGAAGAGTTATTGTAGCAACGTTGATACTTAGAAACCATTTTTCTTTCCTTTTTGTTGGCACTTACATTTTTCTGTTGTTCGCCGTCAACAGTCAGATTCATGCACGTGTGCAAAAATGTAAAATTAAAATATTTGTTCCTAGACATCAACACTATTTGTCTAGAAAAACGATCAGCGTTTCTATTGATCGTTGTGATTCATTATAGATCTTACGTCAATGTTAACATCGAATTACCGTATAAGAAGTAGTTGGTTAAACTAAAACCTATAGATAATGCTCGCAGTCGTTTAAATTTCAAAGTGATGGACGACAACTTCTTTCAGGATATAATCAACGAGCGAGCAATTATTTTAATTTGAATTTTCATTCATCATTACGAATTAAAATTGAACAGGTGATCGAATTAATTCTTCTGTTGATTTCGATGCGCTCATTGTGTTTGGAGTAACTGTCGCCAAGTCTTGCGTACTAAAATAGTGTTTACATCCGAAACTCATGTGAAGTATTTTTTCTAACGTTTCAAAGAAAAGAGAATGGAAATAATATCATTGTTCGCAGTTAGGTTGTGACAATTTCAACATAACATTGAGTTGCGTAAGATTGTCCATTTACCATATACTATTTTCGCTGCTTCAACTAAAACTGCGATTTTAACCGATATTCGTATTCTAAAAGAAGCTGTTTGATTGACATCTCTGCGCAAATCACTTACCGAGTTGCATTTCATTCTAAGATTAAGTATGAAAAACCTATTTTATAATTAATAGCTTACGGTCTTTAATGCTTGCTGGAAGTCGGCCTTTGACTTCCAAACAATCGCCGCCATTGGTTGGTTGCCGAGGACCACTTAGAATCGCTGTTGTTTGGAAATAAAACGTGGAAATTATAAGTCTAGAAATTAAACTTGCTGCAACACAGCACATGGTTGAGGAAGCATCTTATTACGTCTTAAAAAGGCTCATGAGATTCATATAGTAGGACGGGCTAACGAAAATACTTTTGAGATTTTTTCTCTCGGTGAAGGAGGGTTAATTTTCCCCGTTTCCAAACTTTATAGTTCAATTAGTCTTTTTTGGCAGCAGACACGCTTTTACTTTCGTTTTTTTTATCACACTTACTTTTTATCAGACAAAATATCGTTGTTTCATTCGTGAACTCTGCTTTCAGGTATAAGACTTCTGTATTATATCTTTAGTGGACCTTTCTTTAGCGGAAGTTGCAAACGAGCCACGTGTGAATAATTCCAGCTCGTAGGATTGTCTGAAGCTCTTAAGTCTTCATGTCTGCCATAAGCACGCACTGAGTAACACATAAACGCCAGAATAAAGAAAACTTCATATGGGTACTGGAAATGTTTACGGACTACTTAGAAATTTTGACATTATCTTCAGTAATTTAGGAATGAATTGTTTATGTTTTTATTGGTAAAAAATTGAAATTAGAAGTAAAATGATATTGTGAACTCCAAGTTTCTCTATTTGAAGACGACTAAGCTCAAGAACTTGGCTTGATGATTTATAAGATCAAAGAATAATGATATGAAGGCAGCATTTTTGTTATTTCTAATACACAACAAATTCGATTTTTCTCAAGCTAGTAATATTTGTATCAAGTGAAATATTTTTCAATATCTCTCTTTAGAAAAGAAAGATATTTTTCAAGGCTTAGAAATCGGAGATAAATTTGTTTATTGAAAGGGAAAAAATTCAAATGAGTGGCATTTCAATCAAGTCATTGACGAATGAACATATTATTTCCAATAAAAAAATTGAAAATTTTCGGATATTCCTGTTGTTTCCCGTTCCGCGAGGTTCATATGCAAGTCCAGTTTTTTGTTCCGTTCCTAAAGCAGATTTTGATGCGATAGCCTTTATGATTTTTAGCTTACCAGTGAGATAGAGTGCTTCATGTTCAATAATTAATTGCAATATTTTAAGTGACGCAAATTATTATTTCATTATTTTCATAATAAACGCGCTCGTGTCGTCAATGTTTCAGTAATTTCTTCTGTACAGATATTTGGTTTGTTGATGTGGTCTCGTTTATTTTTACTTGCATAGGCCGGTGTAATTCAATAGAACTACCAGTTCGATTTTTAAAGACTCAAATTAGAATGGAATCAAAAAATTTTATCGACTGGAAGAGGGTGGAGGGCGTTTCTGCATAAATGACAACGATTGTTCGAAATGGTTTTAATTCCCTTGTTTGAGCTGTTTTCGCAGGCATATAATACTGGATTTGCTGGTGATGGATGGTCTTAGTTTGTAGAAAGTTTGGATCAAAATGAGAACAGCTTGAGTGAGTTGAAAATATATTTAGATAATTCATAGATAGTTCCATCGAACAAATAGTTTTGAAATTCAAATGCAATGTTGAAATTTTCAAACTTGTTTTTGTCATCTAGGAGCCTTGCACTCATGAGATGCAGAACACATTGTCTGAGCAGGCAACGATCCTGATGCGGGATCAACTTCTGAGTCTTTCTCCATCATGTCAGTTTTTTGGGGAGCGTTGTGACCTTCACAATACCAAGCAACTTTTTCCATTCTTTCATTTGAGCCTGGCTGAGACGTCGATATCTTTTTTTCACCACTGACGTTGAGAAAAGGAGCCAATTCATTTGACTTGCGTCTCAGAGATGAAAAGTACGGTCGTTTGATATTATCAGGAGTGGGGTCTGAAGTACATGACTGGAGCAGCGGCCATGGAGTCTCGGAGCAGATGGATTCCCCGCCATCTGGAACAATGCAGACCAAGGGAAAGGTGATTTATTTCAAGAGTAACATTGAGATCTCAATTTGATGAAGTCTTTCGTGAGACAAAGGTTACTACGGGCTCAAAATTGTCATGCACTGTGAGTAATCACAAACTCAATTGTAGAGAAATATTTACTGAAAACATATTCGTATTTATGAAAGCAGAATTTTCTGTACCCAACGTTTTTAAGTGACATAAGTTATTTTCTGCGTAAAAATTATTTTATGCGATGGGTGGAAAAGTTTCAATAAATTTTTCAGTCATGAAACCCAAAGAATTAAATTTAAAATTATTACGCCAAAAAATTTTAATCCGTCTCTTTATAGAATCAGAATAAACAACAGGTATTTAACAGGCTGTAAGTTAACGGTACGTTAGCGGCATGAAGTCAGGCTTCTTAATTTTATACCTAATGAGCTCAACAGCGCATACACATAAGTTGACTTTTAACTAACCGCACTCTTACTTATAAGAATATAAGTTAGAGCTCTAAGGGGAGCGTCTGGCCAAAATTTTTGAATTTTGGCTTTTCCGGTTTTTAGTCTCGTCTTAAAGCTGACATTCTACTCTATTCAACGGTACCAAAATCATCTCTGTAAGTTGATTTATGCGTTCACGACAAATCGCGAAAGGGTTGGGGGTGGTGGAGTTCTTTCACATTTAGGATAGGAGAAAATTCCCGGTAGCATACTTAAATAGCTAGTCCACATACGATGTGCTTCAGTTACCCGCCTGCAATTGTACGGGAGGGTTTGCGTGTCGTCGTTCACACCATCCTTGACAGGAATTGAGCTCCAGTATCGCCTAGTCTTGCATTCTTGCCACCTTGAACGCTTATTTCGAGGCGCCCGGGACTTTGTCAGGTTCTACTGAACAATTAACTTGTTGTCACTGCAAACCCATCTCCTCCTACAGTTTTGAAGCTACAGCGATGGGACATATACCATTCGATTCGCAATTGAAATATCTAGAGATTCGTCGTAGCTTTTTTTCAATTTCGTTATAGTTTTGAAAATATTTTGAAAAAAGGGAAAGGAAATTGGGGAAAATCTAAAAATTTTTAAAAATTTTGCGAAAAATGCTCCCACATCCACAAATATTCGAAATTCAAAAAAAGCTACGACGAATCGATAGATATTTTGATTGTGAATTGAATGGTATGTGTCTCATTGCTGTAACTTTAAAAATCTAGAAGGAGATAGATTTCTGCAGTACCCCCTTTTTTGGTCGTTTTCTAAGAATTTCACGTTTTCTTTCATTTTTTTCGAAAAATGGACATGAAAAAAAGCTGTCTATTTTTTGGTTTTACATATGTGTACCAAGTTTCAGAGTGATCCGTATGTAAACAGCCGAGATAAAATTTTGCCCAGACGCTCCCCTTAAATGGGTTCGTTGATAGAGAAAAGTTTGAGTAATTTCTGGAAATAGGTTATTGATAGAGTAGAATATCAGTTAAGGCTTATAACGGGTTCAGTCGAGTAATGCACTGGGGGCAACTTATTGCTATCAAACAGTAGTACATACATCGGCGAAATTTCTGGCGCAAGGTTATGAATCAAATAATTTTGTTTTAAGATATTACAACTATGTAAGTATTGTTTTATTTTCTGGAATAGAAAATTGAGATCAGATGAGATATCAATGAAATGAATGAATGAAAAACACTGTAAGGAATTAATTTTAAATGGATCCCAAGTTAGCGTAACAACTTTAATGGTGATGTACATACAGTATCATGAGTTCAGGAAATAGTTTTGCATTGTATTAGCTTTTTCGGAATAAGATATATATTTCTGACGCAGATGTTTCATCACAGGGAATTATATTGTAGCAAATTAAATCGCTTTAATCTTTTGTTTTAATTGAAAATGCAGTCAAATGGGCGCAGCAAAGCTTTACTTAAATTTGAATATTATGTAATCAAGCTGTTCTTCACTGAATCTAATAAACAGAAATATGTGTATTATCAAATAAATTCATTACAAGATATTCTGATGAAATGACACGGTAACAGTTGTCAGTATACAATTGAATAAGTTGTCAAAATAAATCTTTCTTGTGAATTAGTCGGAAGGATTGGAATACTAAAAACTGAGTTTTTAGTATTCCAAACTTGCTTTTCTAAAAAATAGTTGCAAGCAAACAACATTTTTTATGAATATCAGGTACTTTTTATTTAACGCTATAACAACTTACTTATAACATCTCGCAGTTTGTTGTGCTGGACCTGATCTTCGTCTCTATAGCCTCGAGGCGCCATGAGCGTTAGAGCGCTCAGTGGCCCTGCATGGCCAGACTTCGTCACGTCCTCGCCTGATGCATGGCACAAAAAATATAACTCAGTACTCACTGCAGTGAGTTACAGAGAGCGCATTTTCTCGTCGACGAAAACTTGAAGTCACGGACGGACAGACGGACAGACAGACAGACGGACAGACATGGCGAGCACAATAGTGCATTTTTTCCATAAATGAGAAAATGCGCTATAAAGCGTTCACTAGAAAATAGTTACGGTTCGACTGAGCCTCTTTAGCATTAGTAAAATTTTGTCGTCAGACATTAATCATTCTTAATGCTTATAGCGTCAAAATGTATTGTAACTGGAGTTTTTATCAGTAGACTATGGTCAATATCTGTACACCATCGACTGCTGACATTTCACGGTAAATATGCCATAGATTTTACATCGAAATAACACCTATCAGCTTGGTTAAACTGTCTCTTATGATTTTTAGGAGAACTCACCCGTGAGGTCGGGGTTGGAGCGCCATAAGCATGGCCCGGCGTCGGGGTTGGAGCGCCATAAGCAAGGCACGGCGTCGGGGTTGGAGCGCCATAAGCATGGCCCGGCGTCGGGGTTGGAGCGCCATAAGCAAGGCACGGCGTCGGGGTTGGAGCGCCGTAAGTAAGGCACGGCGTCGGGGTTGGAGCGCCCTAAGCAAGGCACGGCGTCGTGCTGGAGCGCGTGCAGCTCGCAGACGCTGAGCGCGAGTGTCGTGTGTGTGGCGGCGCTGGCCGTGTAGCGCACCTCGATGGCGTGGCCGGCTACTGAATTTATTCCTTCACAAGAGAAGGATTCTTCGGACGATGAACTCTTCCTTTGCAGTCCTTCGGAAAGTTCCGAAAGAGCTAGATTTTTCAAAGAAGATTTTGAAAATAATTTCATGTTTTTCAACGATTCTTTAGGAAATTTCTTATCGCTAGATTGCTCCTCTACGGAAACACTTTTTATAGATTCTTTAGAAGGCACTGGGAAGAGGTTGGAGGAGTCCTTGATTGTTGAGGTTATGACTTGCTGTTGTTTTTGTTTACTTGTTGTTCCGTCGACTGACGTTGTCTTGAGTTCGAGTTTCCGGCGCCTTAGAAAATAAGTTGATACTGCAATCGCCAGCAAACCTGTAGAAACAGCCAATTCATCCTTAAAAAATATTAACGCTTAGCCACAGAAACGAAATAATTGTTAGCCGTTGAGTAAATGAATAAATAAGAAAGAAAAATGCCTAAACTACTGCATTGTTGATTCAATTATTTCATAATATTTACAGGGTGTATGCACAAGTGTATTGATAAGTAAATTAACTGGTGTGTCAACTGACGTTAGCACAACTATAAAGACTGCTCCTAGTATCCTGCGATGAGAAGACGCCTCGCCATAAATTTGGGAAGCGCTATAGGAATTGCATTAATGCTATGAATTTCTCCTGGGGAAGCAAGTTTGCTTTCCATCAATGCAGAGTAGGCCTGATGATCTGGATTAACCTGAGAAGTTACACTGCTACTGGCAAAGTTTTGTTTTTACACACAACATCCCGAACCTGTGTTACCCTGCTCTTTGTAGAAGAAATGAAGAGAATATTTTGTGCCGGTAAATGATTTTCCGTCATGATGAATGATTTCACTGTAAATTATTACGATTTCACTGTAAATTATTACCTTACGAAAGTAAACATAAACATGGAATGATTTTAATAAATAAACAAGGTTTCAGGGATCATATTCAGGCTGACCCAAGACAGTAGCGAGGAAGAAGATGAAGGCCAGCAGGACAGGCAGGCCGCCGAGGGGGAAGGCCAAGGGTCCGGCCTGCTGCTCACAGTTGTGGCCTGCGTAGCCGCTAGTGCAGGAGCAGTGGTAGCCTGTGATACGGGGCGGCAAGTGGTGGTGTTGAAGAACTGAAGTGACGTCCACAGTATTAACTCTATTACTTGGTTATTAGTAGGTAATGAATGATTGTTAGGAATGAATGCAATTAATGTTGCGCATTGATGAGTCTGATGTATTAAGTTAAATGATATGACACACTTGTTTTCCTAAAACACAAAATGAAATAAAACTGAGGAGTTAAAACTTGTAGGAACATCGAGAGATGACAAGGAAAATCGGCAAAATTTGTTCAGAAAGTTTTTTTTACGAGAAAACGAATTAAATATTGCATTCATTGATCAGTAGAACCATTTCCATGCACATGAAGAGGTGCACTTAATACAGCTTCTTGAGAAGAAAAACAGATCATTTGTATCAACGAGGAATAAATATGAACAAATTAAACCAAAGAAGACGATTTCCGTATACCTAACAGTAACGTTCATCGTCTAATACATATGATAGATTTACCTAATATTAAACCTTATACGCAAAATGCAAAGTTTTAAAACTTCATTATTACGTCATCTTCGTCCTCAGGGTACAGTTGATACTGCACCATGATACATAATTGAAGAAAACTCCCCTACTGAGTGCGCACATGCACACGGCAGTCATGCAACTGTCTCTATAGAAAAGTCGGTTAAAAGGCTCCAGGTATGATTATTCTTTTGTGGATCACCCTCAGCCAGCCTTACATGGCTGATTAGAATTTACAAGGACGCTATTTCAAGAAGGCATTCAGCTGGAGGTCCGTATTCTAACTCCATCAATTTACAGTGAAACTTGTGGAGAAACCGGGTATAATATCTCACAGGAAATAGTTTCTCTTAGGCTTAACAATTCATGAATTTGTGCCGTGGTTCCAGGTTTGAAGTCTATCTTTTCATGAATATACTCATATAGGCACGTCTGGTGCTTGCAAGACGGAGTGTCGTTTGGAAAGATGTACTACAGAATTAACTAATATTTCCATTTTAGTTTTGATGGTAAGAGTTACGCGCGCAGTTCAACAGGTGAAAGCTCATATCCCTTAAACAAAGTCTAGTTTGGTCGCTATAACAGCGTGGATGCAGCGCCTGGAGGGATTGTCTTCACTTATGGCATTTTCTTCAGTATGCGGAGAAAATTATGGCTTATCTTAGGAATTTGTGGCTCCTAAATTTGAATACTGACATGCAATCCTCATCGTCCATTCTAAGACACAATTTTTTCATTGAAAAGGTATTCACAGAACATTCATCGAGTTGCACACAAATTGAAGAATCCGATTCAAAGCGGCTTTTTCTGACATTCTAACAAAGCCACACGATCTTTCTTTAAGGATTTTTGCCTATCGTTTATCTACTAAACCATTAAAAATACTTCCAGCACAACGTAAATCGTAACAAATTATTAAATATGATTTTTGGGATCATGTTAAGAATAAGCACCCCATACGTTACTCGGGTGCGTAATCTTAAGGTTAATTGAATGAAAAATACAAACAAATTAAGTGTTTATAAACATTTATTAACTAATTATGATTCAATGTAGAAAAATACATTGCAAAACATTGAATCCCAAATGATAAGCAAAACATCTTAGTCAAAGTACTTTGCTGCAATATGATCACATAAAGCTTCAAAAGCATTTAATGAGAAGCTTTTTCGCCACATGAATTCTTGAAGATATGAATATAAAAGGAATAGGGAGGAATAACAAAGTCATTCTACAAGTTTTATTCTAGGGATCGTTTTATCAAGAAGGATATACAGGGGTGCGTTTTCTTAACAAGTTCATGCTGGGGTGCTTATAGATAACAAGATTGTTTTTTTTTGTCTCTATATATCGTTGGTGCTTTTGAACAATTTAGTTCCCAGAGAGTCTGTTTGTCGAGCCAATGTCAACATGTAACTAGAAATGAAAATAATAATACATGATTACAGAATATAATACAATTTCCCGCTGAAATCTGTGTTTTTATTATAATGAATAGAAATATATACTAATTTTCTCATGATGACCTTACCATTTTCTGAAATTTACAGTGAATCCATTCATTTCTTATGAATAGTTAAGTGATTAGAGTCGATGTTCTAACGGTTATTCATATCATGAAAAATACGGTTGATTACCTATTTAATAATTGAAGTTTAATGGACACCAAAGGTTGATTTATTATTAACAAATACAAGCGTATTTAACTTTAGTTCAGGATATCCCATGCAATTAACTATTATTCGTCGCGAATCGTATATTTAAACTCAATAAGCTCCATTTCATCATGCAAATTGGGAATGTTTGACAGTGACAGTTTTATGGTGGAACTGATCTATATCGATGATTTCGCAACTTGCAATATCTGAGAAATCCTCTACACAACAAAGCTCGGTAAAAACATACAATAATACATTTCGTTAGTTGAAGCACCAATGCAAGGAATCAACAATTGAAACAAGATAATTAAGCATTCAATCTTAACCTGATCAGTTGAAAAAATCTTTCAGATAAAATTTCATTACCTGGCACCGAGTTTGAGCACGAGGCGAAGTTGAGGCAAGGCTCGTAGCGACACTCGTCCACATCCAGACAGGAGGAGCCGTCGGGACTAAGCTGGAAGCCCTCGCCGCAGCTGCGGACCAGGGGGCGAAAAAACGCTTCTTAGACCACAAACTGAAGAGAGTGGCATTTCTTCCAGCCCTATTGGCGCATGCAAGCTATATTTCAGAGGTTTTTACGAACAATTGACAACGGAAGGCATGCTGCTTTGAAGTTTTGTGTGGTAAATTCCAGCGGTATTTTGTATAGAACGACACGTCGGTGTTTGTTTTTACGGGACTCGACCCTTTGTGCTCTGAGATTTTTGTGTTTGTTCTGTTATGGCAGAACAGTGGTTTGTGTGTTAGGACACAGCGTTGTGTCGGGCTGCGTTTCAAGGATTTGTTTTAGCAAAATAGAGCTCCGGAGCCAAAGAGTTTCCTTTTATTTTAGTCCATGTCCAACCTAGCATAATGAATTGATGTATACCTACAGAGATGAGGCTGGAACTGATTCATAAACTTTTGTTCAGAATCACAGAGCAGTCCACTTCCATCCAGGTGCCAAAATTATTCATAACACAATGCACATAGTAGTGACGTTATAAATGCAATGAGAAGTCCCCTAAAAATGTGTTCATGTATGCGAATTCGTCTTTTAGAGGCTCGTTCGCATCATTCTTTACATTGTGCCACTAGTGAAATTTGTACCCACCAAATGTTATAGTTTAGCCAATAGGTAATCCAAATACTGACACCAAGATACTTCTTACTCGCACTTGAACTGCTTCCAAGTGTCCAGGCATTTGTAGGGCGGAGAGCAGGTGGCGTTGACACAGGCTGAAGGTGGCACGCACCCCGACGCCAGGTCCATCGCAGCCTCCACGGCCCCCCAGCGGGTGGCGCTCAGGGCCGGGGGCATCGGCAGCCGCCGACCGCTCACACGCACGTCGTCCAGACAGCCTGGGCCAATTAATGTGAGGTTTGATGTACCTTTTGGTTCAGTATCTTGACGAGAGGTTATTGAGTGAGAAAGAAAATAGGGATCGGAAGCCATGAATATTTGATCATCGTTAAAATTAACCTAGCTGATGACTCTATGTTTATTAATTATAAAAATGTAACTGTTAAGTCATATCAGTAAGAAATTGTGAGCACATGAAAAGTAGGGAGTAAATAACCAGTAGGATGAGAATTAAAAATTGCGAAGTTTCTTACCTTCTTTGAAATTCGTGTGTATGACGGGCTTCTCGCCAACGGATCTCGGAGATTTACCGCCAGGATGAGGAGCATCCGCTCCCCACAAATGTTCATCCCGCCACTGCACAGGAGCGGCGAGTGATGACATTTCTTCCTCCTGTGACAGCCTCTGGAGCTCCCTGTCGCCGTCGTCTGCTGTCAGCTCCAGGACGTTGCCGAACCTGAGAGAACACGCGGCGCTCGTGGCTCAAGTGCGCAGCGTTTGGGAATTCATGTGGACATGAAGCTAAAGATAGAAGTTGTATAGTTTTTTGGTCCTATGCCGCTGAAACTTGCATCGTTACGAAGTCATGTGCAGTTGAAATAATTAAGTTACAATTTGCAAGTTCAATTTTGATGTGCACCTGAGTCTTACCTGCAGTCATTCAGAATGAAGGTTATAAGCTTAAAGATACACAAGAGCATAATTAAATTAATCCTTTTTTACGAGGGCATACGCTTATAAGCCTAATTTTAAAAATTTTTATTACCCAGGCAAGAATGTGAGTTTTGAGGAAGTTAACTATTATTTATCTAAGCTTGCGGCAAATTTTGTCGCAGTGGGTTAATTGTATCATGTAAATTACTAATGAATGAGAATAATATATCACCAATCCCATACACGAAATATATGAAAGTCCAGCATTATTTTCATGTGTTATAATTAATGCAGCAAAATGACAAGAATGCAAAATGACAGAATGTTAAAATATGTATGTTCTCGCTGTAAAGCGTTTTTTCCTTATTTTGTGGCGTTGACAATAAATAATAAGTAGGCATTTTTTCGCACATCGAGGTAAGACGATGCAAAAATACCACATAATAGCCACTCTCAACAGGCAGCGGAATATCACATCGCCAACAGTGAGAAGCATTAAGTATGGCATGTAGAATTACAGAGGCTTTATTGTGCAACATTATGTCATAATTGGTAAAAGCGAAGCTAGATTTATAATAATAGTCACTTCCAAAACGAAAAATTCCATCGCCTAGTGGCTTGAAGCGCCAGTCTTCGCGACAGTAAACCCAATTGTTTATTGTGGTAGTAAACAATAAAGCAATGTGCTGCAATATTTTTCCTCATGGAATCGCGTAAGACACAACTTTTTTTTTGCCCAGCAAAAATCTGTCACCTTAGAGAAGCAATTTTTCCTTGCGCGCTATTTTGTAGGGTAGGCTTAAGGGCAAAGCCAGAATAGGTTTGAAACCTTTTGAGTACAATGTCATGTCACATGCCGTCGTGTAGGTCCACTGTAGGATACAACTACTGCTCAGTAAGTTACCTCTTTGCAGCAATGTCGTACCACATGCCGTCATGTAGGATACAACTACTGCTCAGTAAGTTAC